TGCCTATAACAGCTGAATGTGGCGATTACCATCTTGATCAGCAAAACGCCTCACAAACTTATTAAGGTTTAAAGCTATGGTGCATTTTGATTCAATGCTGAGTACAGCCTGAAGAACATATCAAGGATTAAAAAACTAATGTCACAACAGGACTTAGAAAAGCTCGTCCATGCTTTTATCTTTAGTAGACTAGACTACTGCAATAGTGTATTCACAGGGCTGACAACAAAATCCATCAGAAAGCTGCAGCTGATTCAGAACGCCGCTGCACTTGTCCTCACTAACACTAAAAGAGTGGATCACATCAGTCCGGTTCTGAAGTCTTTACATTTGCTTCCAGTCGGCCAAAGAATTGATTTTAAAGTAGCTACTATTGCTAGTTTTTAAATCATTACATGGTTTAGGACCAAAGTATATTGTTGAACTCCTACATAATTACGAGCCATCAAGGTGCCTCAGGTCTTCTGGGACGGGTCTGCTATCGGTTCCGAGAGTGAAAACAAAAAATGGAGAGACAGCATTTAGCTATTATGCCCGACACTCTGGAACAAACTACCCAAATCATGCACGTCCGCAGAAACGCTTACTATTTTTAAATCGAGACCAAAAACATATCTCTTTGGCTGCTTTTAATTGAGATGCTCATATTCACACTACAGTAGGCCTATACCTTTTAAACGCATTGTATACCTGTGGTGTTTATTTTTATTATTTTATTATATTTGCTTTGTAATGCCTGTTGTAAAATGCCATTATATACAGTATGTGTTTTTACTGTATTTATCCTAAAAAGTATTTTAATTTGTTTTGTAAAGCACTTTGAATTGTCGCATACAGAAAAGTGCTATATAAATAAACTTGCCTTGCCTTGCCTTCCCTTACAGCCAAACTTGACAGACTCTTCTCTGTCATTGTAGACCGCAAACACCTCATTCCTTCCGTCTACTTGGATCCGAAATGTTTCTCGTTTTGCGCTGTCCCCCCGTTCAAATGAAATCGTCGCCAATCATATTTCCAGGCTCGCGCCAGGGCCGGGGGAGGGGTTACAAGGCTCACTTCTTGTGCTGCTTTCACTTGCACTCGGACACTAGAGATTTTCTCTCACAAATGTCCGATGAGCCACAACTTTTCTTTCAAAACAGCCACCTGGGGTGACACACGCAGCTGCCACCCCGTAGAACCGCCACTGGCACCGCCACTCCTCGCCCTCCATGATCAAGCGGCTTTTCCAATTTTGTTGTCAATGTTTTGACTGAACTTTGTTACTGTTCACATATAAGTAAACATTACGTTTGAATGATTTAGTGAGCTGGTGTTATGTTTTTCAAACCGCATGTTAGCTATTTCAGCACCACGCGCTGTCCACCTACTTATTGATCCACTATCAGCGTCAGTGCACCCCGCTGCCAGATTGTGCCTGTGCTGTGTGTCATTCACTCTCAACATGGATAAAAGTACAACAAGCATTCTTCAGGTGTAGGTAGATTCTCTATTCGGACATTATAGTCTATATGTGTGACTGTCGGTCCGATATTGTAAAAAAAAAAGAAAGAAAAAAAATCTCAAAATAATATTTTATTTTTATTCTCAAAATAATTTTCCTGGCCAAATATTATTGCTGGTGGGCCACCAATGGCCCGCGGGCTGCCTATTGCCAACCCATGCACTACAGGAAAGGAAGGTTGTGCTGATTGAAACTCTTATATACAGTTGGGTAGTTCCATCTGCAGCAATGCGTCATATTTTCTTTATGCTTTTTTCTGTTACTTTCATTTACTTTACTCCTCCATCTCTTTATCCTCTCCCTGTAGTTTCCAAGGTGTCTAGGCAGCTGATGTTGATAGAGGCAGAAAAGGAAGAGAGCAGGAGAGAGGCGTTAAAAAACGGGAGAGAGGTACAGGTTCTGCAGGCCCGCCTGAAGGATGCCATCACCTGGGACGAACACTGTGGCATCGCTGGGAAACTCAAACGGTACCACTACAATGTCTTATTTGATCAAAAATGTCTTTCTTTAAATGATTCATAAACTGGGACACTGTTGTTTCGTGAATTAAGGACAAGAAAGAGAAGAACTTCATATTTTAAGTAGGTGACACACATTCTCTCTTGCTGTATGTTCGAGGGTGTACAGTTCCTTCTATGCTGTTGCCAAACATGCCAAATGCCTGCGCTTTACTTTTTTTTAGTATAGGCAAATATTGTTTATAAATTAAGAGTAAATTATTATAATAATAATAGTAATCATAATTAATAACAATAATTACAACAACATTAATCATTAAAATAATTTAAATCATTATTGTTATTGATTTTATAATAATTATAACAATAATTGTAAAATACATTATTATTATTATTTACATCTTATTCCTATACAACTGTTTTGTTTTAAAAAAAAAAAAAAATTTGATAAAAATATTCAAAATGAATAATGATGTTGATGATTATTATTATTATTATCAATACTAATATAACTTCTTGAAACACTGAATTGAGTTGCATATGTTTTCTATTGTGGACCAATATCCAACATTAACTAAAGCCTCTCAATATTGATTTTAATTTAAAATCTTTGAACTTCATGGGATATTGAAGAAAATAGTCCACGGATAATACATATAATTATACAGCACAGGCAGTATGACAGCACTTTTTTGTTAACATTAAAGCATGTAAACATGTCACAGTAGAGGTACGTAGTACAAATATGAACCTGAACATTAGCAATGTGTACAATGTAGTTCTGATGCACTTTGTTTGAATATATTTTGTAAAGCACTTTGAATTGTCTTGCGTTGAAACATGCTGCTTGAATAAACTTGCCTTGTAAAATACCTGTAGGCTTGTGCATTTGATAGTGATGGGACGCACTGATTTCAACAGTGTACACTGTGATGTTTTGTTAAAATATGCTGTAAAATTTGCCCTTACCTCTCAGACAACTGGAGCAGCAGGAGAGTAAGAATAAGAGTGAGATGGACGACTTTCTTATCAGATTGTCCAGTCTGCAAGAGGAGAATAGGAGTCTGGCTGTGGACAAAGCCAATCTGACTGCTGATGTAAAGAGAATGGAGGCAGAGCAGGAGCTCACCAAACAAGCTAACAGGTAATTATTATTTTCTTACTGAATGGGTCTGGGTTTTGAGTAATGTACATTCAATATTATTAACATACAAAAATTAAATTAAAACAAGAAACAAAAAAAAAAGCTGATGAAAAACGGTTGTCATGGCGGATAATTGCATCCCTACTCACATGCCCCGTACATACTAATCAACACATAAACAGCCCCGACCCCTAAAGACACACACACACACACACACACACACACACACACACACACACACACACACCCACCATTACTGACAGCATACTACCAGGTAAATACACACTTCTACTTGTATAAAACTGACCTTTGTACGATTAATACTTCATAAAATACTGCAGATCCTTTATCTTACCTCTTTCTAATCTACACACATACAAGTATTTAACCGAAGTTACACAACAGTGTTGTTGATGCAGAGTTGGAGTTTATTCACACGTCACATACTACAGTGGGTAATGTTTTCAAGAAACATTGAACAGTGCTGCCACACATGACACAGGAACAAAAGAGAAGACTCTGAACCCTTGCTTTGCCATTATATACAAATAGTGTTGCTACAAAAGTATAAATTACTAATAAGACAACTCAGACAACTAATGATCTGAAGCTACACAGGAATCTGCTGCCAAAGTGCAATAAAAAAGACAAAATGAATAGAATCAAACCCTTCTTTTGTTGCATTTTAGTAGAGTATAAAAAGAAATGCCTTTAAAATAGGATGCAAGCAACACTAGTTTCTTAACCTGAATTGATAATAGACTATAATCAATTTAAGTTTGCATTCTTATACAATTTTGTACAATAATTATAATGAATAAGTTCAAACAAACTAAAATGTACAGCTGATTAATAACGGTATCTAACTTGAGTTTTTATTATATCAAAAACCTGTTGGAATGCTACTGTTATTTTTACTGTCCCCCAAAAGTGCGTCAGCAGCCTCCAGGAATGCTCGCCACGCCAGCCAATCACAAAACTTTGATGCGTTCAAGTGCATTATTCTGGCACAGGAAGATTATGTTATAGGACATTAACGATAAAACAGAATATTGTTGTTCTAATTTTAGACACATCTCACGATCGACTGGGAATCTCCCGGTCGATCGTGAT